ATACACGGGGTGTATGTGCATGACTGTGTTTATTATTTTTCTCTGTATTTGCCGCATTAAAAAAAAAAAATAAAAAAAAGTTTATTTCATCAATTATAAATATTTATTTCGAAAGATATATATTATAAAGCTATTAGGGTTTAGGGTTTAGGGTTTAGGGTTTAGGGTTTAGGGTTTCAGCACACGTGGTGGGTGTGCAGGGTGGCGTTTGGTGTTTCATGTATATCTGGGGTGTATATGCAGCAAAAAGCGTAGAAATAAAAGTAAAAACAAAATAAAAATAAAAAATCAATGAATTTCAATGAAAATAAATAAAAATTAAACAAAAAACGAAAAAAAAAACACAGGCGGTAGGGGCCCCATGGTGACCGCCGGCCTGGGTGTAGTAGCTGCCCCCCAAATGCAGCAGCACTGCGCGCTAACTAGCCGACTAAATGCATTTTTTGTGTAAAATAATCTAATTAAAACAATAAAAATAAATATTTTTTGCATTTAAACCAAAAAAAACGACAGAAAAACACAAAAAATGAAGCAGGCCGCCAGCAGGGCCCCTGGTGTATGTACAGCTCAATGCGCGCCACCGCTGCGGTCGTTTCTTTTGTTTTTTTCGGAGTTAATGTGAAACATTTATAAATAAATAAATTAAAAATATTTTTAATTCATTAAAATTAATATTTTACTCAAAGAAGATCACGCCGCCACCCAGCTGCAGCTGTTCATACACCAGAAACTCTAGCGGCCTGGCTGCTGCNAGAAGATCACGCCGCCACCCAGCTGCAGCTGTTCATACACCAGAAACTCTAGCGGCCTGGCTGCTGCTGCTGTTGTGTGTGTAGATGCAGCAGCAGCTGGCTGAGCTCACTGTATTTTTATATTACAATTTCTATGAAGACTGAAACAGCAGCAAGAACCCCTGATGCTTTGGGGTTTGCTGCTGCTGCTGCTGCCTCCGCGTTGACTCTCTCTTTGTCTTCTTCCTTCTTTGCTGCTGCTGCAGCAGCAGCAGCAGCAGCAGCAGCTGCAGCAGCAGCAGCAGCAGCAGCAGCAGCGGCTTTTCTTGTCAACCCGACGCTGCAGCAGCTTAAAGCTACGATCCTACCTCCACCGCCCCCAGCCCCCCTCCCCTAGAACCGCTGCTGCTGCTGCTGCTGCTGCTG